TAGCAGGTTTTTGTTCATGAAGGGAAGGAATGGACAAATTAAACTTGAAACCAATCATGGCGCTAGGTTGAATGTTAAGGCAAAATTAATGTTAACGGTGGTGTTGATGCTGTAAAGTAAACGCTGAAATCAGTCAAATGTATCCTCTGGGGATAATGAATGTTTGTTTCATGTCAATCCATTTAACAGTTGTTAGGATATTTTACTCTACACCAAAGTGGTAAACCAACTATGCAGCTAGTACGTCTCAAAACATTATAGTGACCTATGAAGGAAATCCAGCTATGATTATTTATAAGGTTTTTGGATGCAATTTTTTATTGTTTGTAAAATCATACAGTGGGGCTTCACTCTTTTTATTTCAGTGCCAATCAATTCCCGTCATCGCAGCTGTCTGTGTACACGATATGTCTGAACAAACCACAGTGAGCAAGATTCATGGCGCAGGGTTGTCAGACAAGTGATGGCGGGACAGTAAAGAAACAAGAAGAGAGATGAAATGTTTTGAGACACTCACCCAGCTGAGAAAACGGATCAATGAGATTGCATACAATTGATTCATAATCAGTGTGACCGTGAGTGATGAGCAAGACAAGTAAACAAACAGATACGAATCAAGAGGACAATAAAATTCAATTTGTGGTGACACAGAGAAAATGCAACACAGCAAGGATTACATTTTGGTGGCCATGCTTGACCGTGCATGTCTACATTCGATGCAAGAGTTCCTAAACGTAGGCTACTTGTTGCTACATTTATACTCACAGACTTGTATCACTTAATCTCTTGTGTCATAGTGGCACAAATACCCTTTACTCTGTGGCTGCATTTACAAGCGGAGACATTTGTTATGTGGTTGTTTTGGCAGCCAATAAACACAAATCAGCTTTACAACTATTAATAAGCAGCTCCGGCCCATTTGCCATGCTGCCTGCGTTGCTGCATTGACACACAGCGCTGTGATGTACTGTCTGCTACTGCCAGCCGAGGGGGCCAGTTGATGAACTTGGCATTAAACCAGAGGACAGCCATTTCTCTTCTCTGACTGGATGGACAAGTGCTGGAAGATGTATAACTCTCCAGGCTCCACTGATGGACTCTTTGCAGCACCAACAGGGATAAGCTGTCAGTTTCCCGCTTCCCGCCGGGCCTTAATAAGACGGAGAGCCGGCCATTTAAAAAACACAACATAACAAATATCACCTCAGGAGGTGCTTGTGAATCTAGGGCGGAGAATCAGGGAGCAGCCAACCAGCTATTCATCTTTAGTCTGGAGACTGGCCAGTTTGTGACACTGTCAAATATTCTCCTCTCTGCCTGACCACTTCTACACTCTTCTCTTCAACCCTATCCTTCTTAAGGAGGCGGCAGAGGGTATGAGTAATAACCAGCATTCCTGAAATTCCACCTTTATTAAACTTTAATTAGGGAATTACCAAGTGGGGGAAGAAGTGTTGAGATTTGTAAGAAAAGGGCAAAAGCAGGGGTTCCAAGATCATCAGAAATAGATAACACACGTGTTGTTGTAAGACAAATGTTATCCTGCAATTTTACGGTTTGACCGACAGAACATAAACATGGGAACCTCTCATGGGAAAAGATCAAATGAGATACTATAGAGACTGGAACCAATTCCAGAGCAATAAGATAGATGAGATATCTTTGTTTACAGAGATGAACTATGCATTAACCAATGATAAACCTGCCATGAAAACAATCAAATGGTATTATCCAGATGCAACAGACACTGCCACATTTCATCTATACGAGCTCCTCTACAGATGGGTAGAAGCTAGCTGTTGCTATATGTCATGTCTGTCACGCTGAGATGCTTCCCTACAGGCTGCAGGGGTTAATCTATACTGCCAGTGTTATCACTGGGGCCCGGCTTATTTTTAGCAGCTTTCATTACACTTTTCTATCCTGTAGCCAGATTGGATGGGTTGAGATTTGTCAGGAGAATCATGAGATGTTCTCCCTTCAAACCACAGTGCAGCAGCTGACAGCTTGCTATGGCAGGAGACATCTAAATGGTCTCATTATGGACCTGGGTTATGACAGCCTGAGCCACCGTGTGGGAGAAACAGCACGAGTTGTGTGAGCCGAGGTACAATGACTTTACCTTCTTGCATTGCAGTGAGCTGGAGTGTGCATAGCCACTCCTAAACTAGCCATCGCTCAAACATCAGCTGCAGTCGGGAGATGTGTAGCACTGTAGCTACAGCAGGTATAACTGTGAGACATTTATGTGTCAGTATGTTTTAAACAGTGCTTGTTGAATGGTCAAACGTGGTTACCATGCTTTGTAATGGAGTCTTTTTTACTGCTTCATCACCATCCATATGTATAGCCTACCAACAATGTGTTTATTATTATATTGTTGAGTGCACAATATTTTCATAGATCAAGCCACTTGCTGTAAAAAGAATTACAGCTAAACTTGAAGAATGTTCAAGTCTACTTAAGGGTCACTGGTGGACAATCCAACTCAACGACTTTCAGCCCTAGAGCTAAGGGAGGATTTGACCTTCTCTCTGTAGCTGTTTTTTTTTGCAATGAATTACTTCTGGCACTTTTCCATTTATATAACCAAATGCAAAACTATTTTAAAAAATAATCTGAAAATGTGAATAAGTAATGTCTGTTTGACCACGTTCAGGCTTTACACAACACAATCAAATTGGACCATTTGAATCATCTTACACAACTTCAGACGTAATACTGCGTACAAACTAGATTGTTTTCGAGCATACAGTTATGGCACCTTAAATACAGAAGACTGCAGTCCTGAGTTTCTGTGTGTTCTAACGCTTTCAGCAGAAAGAAGAAGAAGGCCCCCCCCATAACACTCAACACAGTGTTTTCACATTGAACCCCCTGGATTTGAAAGAAATGAGCTGAAAGCCTTCAGAATGTGTCAAAGTCCCTCATTCACAGTGTATCTGGAGCAATAACAAAAGGATAATGCACAGATTAGTGCTCCTCGGGGCAAGATGGGCTTAAGATGCGGAAATATGCAACACAGTCTTTCCCTGCTGCAAATGAATTAGCCCACTGTTCACCCACAAATATAGTGTGTAATGTGCTTGCGGAAGAAGCTTAGTGTGGATGTGGAACTTGAGATGTCTGGCATTTCAGGGATATACATTGAAAACATTCAGCAAGCTGTCTAGCTCAGTCATGCAGTTCGCCGTTATTTAAACCTGAAAGCTGGAAACACTTGTATTTTTCCTCTTTTTCTACTGAGAGTTGTTCTTTCAAAAAGGTTTTCAAAATGCCAGAGCTGAAGGTCAATAATTAAGAGAGGCTGGAGAGAGACTTTGCTTCCTAATGGTGTTTTTGAATTCTCCACTTGAAGAAAGCTGCCCTCAATTCAAACATGTTGATCTTTGCTATTAAAGGAGAGTGTTTTGAATGCAGTAGAGACAGCATATAACAGCATAGACACTGACGGATGAAACCAATGGTACGGATCTAGGGATCATCATGGCTTTTGTAAGCTGCTCAAGTGCTGTCCTCAGTATACTTGCCGCTTTTCCCAACCTCTACAGTTGACTAGTTGACTTATCTTAAGCCATGTCCTCACCCGAGCCCTCATAAACTGGACTAAGGTCAATCTGTCGGGAATTCTAAAAATGGTGCCCGTGTCTCTGAGGAAAGGGGACAGGAATGTCATGACCCCATGTGAGTGATGTCAATCTGCTTTTTGAAGGGGAAATGGCTAACAGAAATGTGTATTTTCTTTGGCGAAAAGAGGGTTAGTTTGGCTCTGAAGAAGCTTTAGAAATGTAGAAGGGGTGTTCGAAGCGGTTTTCCATCAATTTGACCTATTAAGTTATTTGAAGAAATAATAATTTTGTGTTAAAGGGTTATCTGGGCTTGGTTTCAACACGGAATAAGCCTATTACAAACTAGAGTCGTGGCATTTGAGAAGTGGTTATTTAAGAGGCTTGGTTGGCATTATGGGTAAGTTAGGATCCAGTATTTAGGATTTGAACCCATACTTTGGACTAGAAATCAGAATTTGAATTGTAATTTGTCTCTTGTGATTCCTTCAAACTAGCATCACCTGCTAAAAAGATAGAATACCACTTTTATCACATCTACACAGCTCCATTAACTTACATTCTTTATGAGATGGATAAAGGTTACCTTTATAAATGTCAATTGAACTGTTGCGTCACTGTAAGTAATACATACAAAGAAATGGCCACTGGGATATTCAATTACTTTAACATGCCATAATAAAAGCCCAACTCTGCTTTTCCTCAATTTTTATTGGACTTAATAACTGGCTGCAGTGTGAAAGATCACCCACATTAAATATCCGATTACAAGTTGAGATTACTGTGAAACAATCTGGAAGAATATCTGTGTTTCCAAGAGAAGGTCTTTCAGTTTGCAATAGGTTAAGAGGTCATAGAGACACTTAAGGTGGACCAAACCATTTGGAAAAGAGGGGCTTAGAGGGATCAGGCCACACTTATTGAGAGATGACTGAGAACATCTGGGATCGTTCCCAAACACACATGTACTCACACACCACCTAACATTCACACACATTCTCACACAGACGCAGCGTTATTAAACTCATCTCTAATCTCGGATCAAACACTGCGACAGGATGCACCTCCGCCAGGTCTGTTGCTGGGCGGCGTTTGTAATCTTGAGGGAGAGTGACAGAGACATGAGACACGAGGGTTTCGGTTTCCCCCGTCTATCTGCTTGGCTTGGGTTCCACCGCGCTGACTTGATGAACTACAATGCTGGGTGGGCTTAAAGAGGCCCACACACACTCTCACACACTTATCTATACATGTCTCTTGTTTCCTCATCCATTACCACTGTGATCCCTCTTTGGATTTTGCTACACATTTTCCGTTGGCACTGATGGACTAAGCAGATAATCAAAATGTGATACTCTGGGTGAGAAGAGGCTGTGAAATGCCATTTTCTGGCGAGGTTATCTAATTGCTCTCTCCTCTGTGTGTGTCTTCCAGGTCCCATGGCCTCCACAGAACATGGCAGAGGGCTGCAACAGGCGGCCACAGTCAGAAAAATTGTCCAGCAAAACCCTGGGAGGGGTAGCCACAGACCAGCCGGCTGGAAGAGGAGACGCCCACGACCACGTCTTTCCCACAAGGGGCCCATGCCGTTCTAGAGCAAGGTGAGTTTATAGCAGTCAGAGGTGAATAGACGCTCGTTAGGTTTAGTCTGGCAAAGCATGCAATCAAACCTGTGATTATACGGTCAGTAAAAGTGGATTCTCGTAAAAAACTATGTGCTATTCTCTCCTGCATTTGACCAACTTTCTGTCAAGTCAGAGCTACTTGTTTCTCGAGGGAATATGAGCCAAAGCACTTTCCGAAATATCAAATCATATCATATCTGCTGACTAGTGCGGAAACAATTTCAAAAATACATTTCTAAGTGGTCTAGCTGTTGAGTCTTAAAATACTTTGTTGGCAGAATCAGTAGTTTCAGTGACGAAAGGGAAACTCTTACAGGAACACTGGGAGCTCAGCAGCCAAACTCAACTCCACCACAAGGATGTTTTTGTTGGCATTGAGAATAAGTGCATGTCTTAACAGATTACTGGACTTTAGCCTAGCTGCATGCCTTAGTAGTACAGGGTTTGTTTTTAAGGCACGTCATTTATTTCCTCATGTGGGAGACAGTTATACTTAGAAACCCAAGCTTTGAGTCAATTCAGCTAGCATAACTCTTTTCTCTCCATCTCATTAAGTAAATTAAACCCTTTTACCAAAGATAACACTTTTAAGAGTTGGGTTTCATGGCGGCGGCGACGCTTTTCCCGTGAAATAATGTTTAACTTGCTGTGAAGTAAAACAAGCCTTTGTGTGAAAACTCTTTCATCCAAAATCAGAGACAATATTTGACTTTCAAACTATTCAAAGTATAGTTTTATTTTCGGAACCAAAACAAACTCTCTGTATTTCTAGAAAAACAGATCAAGCTTCATTGAGAAACTAAATCATAATGCAAGTAATTAAACAAGATAATTACATTACATTGCATTTAGCTGACGCTTTTATCCAAAGCGACTTACAATAAGTGCATTCGACAAGAAGATACAAACTTGAAGAAAACAGAATCATATAAGTACATCAGGTTTCAGAGCCAAAACATTTCAAGTGCTACTCAACTGGCTTTAGATAAGCCAGTCCTTTGTTAGTATATAAGTGCTTTGATAGTAATTTTATTGCTCGAAGTGGAGTCGAAAGAGATGAGTTTTTAGTCTGCGCCGGAAGATGTGTCCTGATGTCAATGGGGAGCTCATTCCACCATTTTGGAGCCAGGATAGCAAACCGACGTGTTTTTGCTGATGGGAACTTGGGTCCCCCTCGCAGTGCGGGTGCAGCGAGCCGTTTGGCTGATGCAGAGCGGAGTGCACGTGCTGGGGTGTATGGTTTAACCATGTCCTGGATGTAGGAAGGGCCAGATCCATTCACAGCATGGTACGCCAGTGTCTTGAAATGGATTCTAGCAGTTACTGGAAGCCAGTGAAGGGTTAGGGTTAGGGTTTACATGATCAAATGTACAGTGTATAAAGATTAAAACTCTCCATGCAGATGGTAGCATATATCTGTGAATTGAACAAGAGCAGTACGAACTTGCATTAAGAAGGGCAAGACCCATTCATATGTTTCTCCCAGACGCCGTGAGAGACAGGGAAACTCAGCAAGACACAATATCCCTGCAGGAGGTGCCGACTATACAACACTGACCTGCAGAGGGTCGCCATAAATTAAAGCCATAGTGAGAGGAGGCTGCAGCCAGAGAGTGTCAAGGCATGGTTAATCAGTTTTGAGGAAAAGAGACCAACGCTATCGAAGATTGGAAGCTCCTTTCTCTAAAGCAGGTTTTACAATCTATAGCGAATTCTCGATCATTCTTTTTTTTTGAATTTTTCAAAAGGTCAGACTTTTTTTGTACTCCTTTTATCAATAAGGGGCTTTAGAGGCTCAGCACAAAGGTGAAAACAATGAGTAAGAACAGAGTCAGGGAAGTCTACCCTTGAAGGACAACGTGGGTCCTCCAACTTTCCTCAGTCTGCCAATAAAATGTGAGAATCCTCTCTGTTCGTGGAGTATTCAGAGCTTGCAGTGTTTAGTGCCAGAATGCTGGCCACAAATACGGGGAGCTTCAGGAAGTTGTGAAGCTCAGTAAAAGTGAACGGCTCAGTGAGTCACAATGCTGTCTTTGCAAACACCTCTTAAACCACAACACGCTCAAGATTTCCTTTTTTTGTCTGCTTCCCACTCGGCTCCTCTCATTCTTGTGAAGTTCATAGTTCAGCTCATTCAAGAGCTTTTTCACATACCATGCTAATTTACCCCGACGTGACCTCAGTGGGAATCAAGCTGTCCTTCAGCAGCGGTTTAGAGGTAACACTACCAAGAGTCACAGAGTAAATGATCCAAGGAATAAACTTCTTCACAGTTTAGTCCCAGTTTGTTCTTTATGCCTCAGTATGATGTATAATGACGGAAGGAATTCATTCTCATCTGGCATCAACCTACCCAACAGAATGATTTGAAAGCCTTTGTTCTTCCTCGTGTCCTGCGTTCTTCTTCAGTTTGTGCTGATGATGGGAAAAACACCTTCTGGAAGCAGCTGGAGATGCATTTTGTTTGATCAAAGCTAGGAGACATCCAGCTGAGAGCTGGTGAGACTCACGCAGACAGACTGTATGTGGATGTCATTATTATCCTGAGTGTAATTACTGCGCTGCTGAAGTAGAGTTTAAGACCAATGATTAACTTCACAGTGTCTGTCCACTGACTCGATGCTGTTTAGCTACATTCCCCCTTTTCAGTGTCAAGAGCAGCTCATCTCTTATTTTCTTAGAACACCTGAGGCAAAGCTTGACTTTTCATCATTACATATTCCAGATGTGAGAGAAGAACGATGGTGACCCAGGTCATCCTCTTTGTGCGTCCCAGTAGACTCAGTTTCGAACGCGCTATAAGGACTCTTGGATCTAAGCTGTGCCTGTCTAAAAGACGACAGGATATTACAGATTTAGAGCCGCGGGCAATTTATGAAAGCCCCTTGAGAACCCCGAGTGTGCGTAAGCTCAGTGCACAAGTCTTTCATCAAAACAATATAGAGCAGGTCTGCATCTCTTCCCATACATTCACTCTGTTATGTAGAGTGACTTCAAGGGGCTGCTGCACTGAGATCATTCCGTAGACCGGAAAAGCACAAAGACGACAACAAACAACATCTCAATGGAGATTAGACACGCGGAACATCAGTTCTCGGGGCATTACATGAACGCAGAAATATGCCAACTTGAAACAAGAGCAGACGCTTATCAGTGAATGAATGTTGTTGTCATGCAACAAAGCTTACTTGTAGTACACATCTGCAATCTCGGAAATGATCACAGAACAAGAGCAGATTAAAGGCGAAGGGAGATCAAAGATGTCCTCATTGTTAAGGAATGATCCAACGCCCCTAGCGTAGCGTAGCGGGGTGCTTGTGCTTTAACGGCGAGATATACAATTGTTTTTCTTACTCCCTGTCGCATTTTCCAATCAACACCATGAAATCTGTCTGGAACATGTCTGGGATAACCTTTTCTTAACTTGTTTCTAGTTTTTGCAAGATAACATAAAACACATTGAACGCTCTGGGAGAAACTCCCTGAGGGGCATGCTTCTAGGAAAGGAAATTCAAATGTCTGCAGAACTGAAATTATTGTTAGGAAGCAAAAAAGATAAACACATGCTAATGGCTCTTTCTCTTGTGTTTTTGTTCCTGTTTTGCAGGCACTGCTTTGAGCGCCCTCCCCCAGGTTCTGATTTCTATGCTCTTCCTTTGCCTTGGGGGGCCTTGCAATGAAGGGCCTACGCTTGCCCAGCCTGAAGAGTGATGTCCATAGCACCTGCTGGTTCTTCAAGCAACTCTTGTCCACAAAAAAATCAGGACAAGCCGCTCACCCTCAGCTCTAGGAGGATTTGGGGGGCAGGGAAAGGGGGTTGGGGGGGGGGTATGGAGCCCGAGCTATCAGACTCTATTTCTCTGTCTCTCTCTTTCTCTTACTCTCACTCCCTCGCTACTTATCTATCTCTGTCTTCTCCCAAGTGTTTTTTTTTTTTTTTTTCACATTTTCTATCATTTGCTTAATAGATCTCAATCATAGAGTGTCTCACACACTTTGCATGACATGTGGTGGAGAGGGAGCCCGGTCAAAACAATCTGAGTCTTAAAGCATCTGTCATTTCTCCACGGTGTGTTATTCCCATCCCTCAGATCCAAGGTTACTTCAGCCGCAGATTTCATTGCTGTGTAGCTACTTAACAGCTTTACTAGTGGCAGAGGGCGCTGGTTATGTGGAAGGGCAGGGTCCGTTTAATAGTTGACGATAGTAGGTTCACTTATTGTTCTCTGGATGTCTGCTGCAAGAAGGAATTCAAAGTTGAAATTGGAGGACATTTGATGACACTATATTAATCACTTAAAGATCATTTTTAATAGTGCTTTGTACCTCCTAACACATTCTACATGCAGATTGGACTAAAAGAGAGCACCTATTGTCATACAATCCATTAAAGTGACTAAATAATTATTTCATTTAGGAGATTCTTAATCCAAAGCTATTTTGGTGTTTCTCATTAACACCTTGGGGGGTTTACTGACACGCTCAAGGTTACTGTAACATAGCCCACCTTGGATGAGTCTTTTGACCCCATATCCCAATCCTGTGCCCAACCCCCAGCCTTCTCCCCACACTGCTGCCCTGCGCGGCTGCTCTTCACGACTGTTAACTGGCAGGGGAAGTCTGCTCCACCGACGGGCTGCCTTGCCTTTTAATGAAGTGCCAAATAATAACCTTCTCCACAATGCTGCCAGAAACGAAGGAATAAAAGGTTAGGGAGAAACACATTACCTCTTGTTTAAAGTCTCAATACACTGACACATTATGCATTTTACATTTCTGCAAACAGAAATCCCACGTGAGACAATGTTAGCAAGGAGGACAGTTAATTAGACCCAAAAAAAGGAAGGAGAAGAAACAGCTAATATCAGCTCAGTTAATATTCCACCACGATCAGCCTACCATTAGTGCTCTGGCTGTTTTAATATTCAGCATAAGGCTGGTTTGACCCTTTGACCGAAATCTTTCACCAACGAAATGCTATGCCTTTCCATCATACTGGAATATATTACTGTTTAGGTTTATTCCTGTGTTTAAGTAGTTGTATTTCTTTTTTCTCAGGGTGCTGTGATAGAAGCTTGTACTAGAGCAGTCTATTTTGTGCATTTATTTAACAAAACACAAACATACAGTACATTAAAAGCATATATGAGCATATTTTCGTATATTTCCTTACTCTCCCTCTATGTATTCAACAATATAGCCATGTATCCAGATTCAGTCGTTTCTAGTCATCATCCTTTCCCTACATTATGTTGGGTACAGTTGCCTTTCTAGTCTGCCCTACCACAGCACAGGTGGTCGTGGCTTTGATCATTACGCTCATTAAATCCTGGAGTTAATCTTTCTCAGATGGATCTCCCCAAGGCTGGCCGGGGCCACTTAGTCTGAGCTCATTGTTAAATTGGCTTAGACTGAAACCACACCCTTCCCCCTTGTCCAATCCTCAAACCCCGCTGATTCAGTGTGTTAACATTGTAACATATTAGGACTGTAACCTGTAGAGCAGCCACCATCGTTCTTTGTGTGTTAGGTGTGCCGGAGCAACTTCAGAGTTGTTGTTTTTAACTAAGATATTAGTTGAAATTCTGTCCACTGCGATCCAATCAGTACACACTCCTGTTTCAAGCAACTGGCAGGTTAACCTAGATATTTCAAACACCTTTCCCTCTCGCCATGTCTCATGCAAATATTATAATAAATAGTGGAGTCTTCTCAGCCCCAGAATGAGAAGCTTTTATTAAGAGAGCATCTTAAATCACAGTGGTAATCCACCCAGCCAAGATCACCTTGATTAAAAATGTATTAAATCCTTGGGCACTGTGAGGAGTAATAATTTCAGTTTCACCATTATTTTTTCATACCCTCTCAGACAGAGATGTAGATTTCATTAATGCTCCACGGGAGAGAGACAGCTTGGCTCAGGATGTCTCATGTATTATTGGAGAAGATAGTAGGAAGATATGAGCTGGGGATAAAAGTTCTAAGCCGCTGGAGTTTGGATGCTGGAAGTAGACTGGGTCATGTTAAGGGGTTCAAATCAATATTTCCCCATCTCAGAAGTTATTGTTACGGAGCCGAGCAACGTCTGTAACCGCACTGTTCTTCATGAATGTATCCTCACCATCTGCACCAGCCATGCTGCCCTTTCAGAGACCAGAGCAAACCTATGTTTATGTAAAATACTCTTTTTAATCTTGGTCTGGTTATTAGTTAATTCCAAAAATAATTCAAAAGCCAAATATCCCACTGATCCAAAGCCTCCGGTGTCAACTAGTCCCAACTAATAGACGTGGCTTTGCTCCAAGACTTCTCTGTTTGGGTTTGCAAGGCTGCACTTTTGCAATTCCATTATGCTGCTGGAGAAATACACCCTGAAAACAAGAGTCTCTTGGTATGGAATGGTTTTCCAGTGTATTGTGACAATTTTTTTTGTCTGATTCTTGTCTAGCTGGTTGTCCAAAGCTTACTTTTTTAAATACAGTGTGAAAAGCTGTATGTTTTGTGGATGTAACAAAATAGAAAAGTAGTCTGCAGCACAATGTCGTGGACACGTGAAAGCTTTCAGGCATTCTTTTTTTCTAGATCATAGCCCACAGCCCTCCCCTGCACATCAGGTTAATGGGCCTTGTGGTGTGGAAGGACAAGCACGTCCAGGCTCAAACTGAAATGGTAAACCAATACATTATGCTCGGGGAGCAAAACCATTTTCCTTAATGGTCTTTTCCAGCAAGGCTTACACAAGAGAAACGATTCCTATCCTCTCAATGTTTCCTCTCTAGTTCCTCTTCTCTGTGACCATCACAAGGCCTGAGTAATGTTCCTATGCACTTGTTAGCATGTTTTCCTGGTAGAAAAATGTTTGTTCTGAAAACTTGCCCCTTTGTGTTTAGTTATTTTTGTCCAAATGCATTTGGCTGGGAGTGTGTAAAAAGTGGGGATGACAGGTGGAGACAGATATAAGCTAGCAGCAAGTTTTAAAATATTAGCTTAGCGATTGATCTCTGTTTCCTAATAGCTATAAACACAAGCCCCACGAAAAATGACAAAAGGAAAACACAAGGTTTTTATGTTCCAAATCATTCTACCAGATACAATTCCTTTAATATGACACTGAGCTCAAACATTTGACTCATTGTAGAATTGGAAACAGAGTTGGCACGCAACACATTCCATGATTTTACCTTGTGAATCTCTAAGCCCATCAAACTGTATCGTGTTGGCCTTCAGAGTGGGTGTCTGCAAGATCAAGTGGCTGATATTCAATCCAACGCATTCACACATTTCCACCGGCTGGGCAATCCAAACGATAACTAGATTTAATCTCCCATGGGAAATGACTAAGATCTGTCATTATCTTGGAGCCTCAAAATGAGACTTCCTGCACCCAGAATAGCACAGGCCCCTCCTGCCTTGATTGCGACACATTCTCCATCTAACCACTGTGTCCAAGATCAGCTCCATTCAGAACAATCTGAGGAGGGATGCAGTCTGTAGGCTTACACGCCATCGCATCAGTGTTACTAGATCTCAAGCAGATACCATTTTAAAAGACGATGTATTACTCCTGAAACTTATGTTCTGTTAATGGTGTGTGCTCATATTACTCACCAGGCCAAATGTACAGTCCCTGTCTCTGTTTTGATGTTGAACTGGGCAAAAATAAATGACATAAATAAATAAATAAAACAAGTGTATCAGAAATGGTTGAAATACTGTGTACATATTTGAACTTTTGGTTTCTAATTTATAAAAGATAAGCTTTAGCTCTTGGAGTACTTATTTTATTTTTCCTTTCATGCGTAGCTTTGTGTTTTTATTTTCTATTTCTGTAAAGTGTGTAAATATATCTTTATGATAATAAGTAATATTAAAATCTTATTTTAAGAAAAAAACCTGTGTCCTTGTCTTTCTTGATGGATAATGAAAATGAAGTATGAGTGTACATAAAAACTGTAAAGCTTCTTAGGCATATTGGTGCTTTGTGCTAAATGCTAATAACTATGCTAACCAACTGATGTTTAGCAGCTAATGTCTACTGTCCTAGTTTAGCAGGGTAGCATAAACATATTAAACTAATATCGGGCGAATTAGCACTGAACACAAAATATGTTGAACTGTTGATGCAGTAGATGGAGCGTTACTGTAAAACAAGGGTACACACCCATCCAATTATTTTAAAGAAACACTCAAAACTACAAATGTAAACCTCGTGATGACGCTAGAGCAAATGTCAGGGCAAAACTAAAGTCTGTGTGTTTTTTCCATTGTTAAAGGTGGGGTAGGTAATTCACTTCAGAAACACTTTTTGTTATATTCCATGGAATGCTCTTAACATCCCGATAGCAATGAATACATGAAATGCTTTGACAATAAATACATAAAAACATTTCATCTGTGGAAGCCGTGGCGCTGTAAAAAGCACGACCAATCATCTTAGCCGGCCCGGCCAAAAACAACTGGATGGCCTACCTGCCTGTCAGCCTTCCATCTGTGCACAAACTTATCTCGTGCCCTCATTGGTCATGTGCGCGTTCGTGTGTGTTGGAGGAGGGGCTCTGTAAGGAAGTGGCAGATTTTCTCCGGTTGTGTACTTTCAAATTCTAGCGCCCTCAAGCTGGTTTCTCCATTCTTACTTCATAGAAGTCCTGATTGTTGTTGAGACATTTCACAATCATTCTAAATGTTAACCCACTGATCTTAATTGTCTAACCATCATGAAAATCATCTGTACAAAATTCCACGCCAATCACTGAAATAGTTGAGATATTTCAGTCTAGACAAAATGGTAGACTGATCGACCAACCATCAAACAGACCACCTTACCGCTGTAGCCACAAATATTACATTCATTCATTTTTAAGATACTAAACAGAAGACGAAAGTTAAATGAACAGTATACATTTTATAATAGAGCAAAAAGTTGACATTCAGTGAAATGGCACATGGCAGAAACATTAATATAGTGAAGGACATCAACAAGCCCACTCACACTTCTTTTTCAACTCAAATGGGTTGCTCTGTTTAGGAACAAAATAATTAGTCATTGCTCAACAGGTTTGCTCAGCCTCTAAACATGGACTCACTTTTTATTTATTCTACTTTAAGCAAGTTCACTTGTTTGTGTATGTTACCTTTGTGTAGCTGAACCTGGCCTGTAACAACACATGTGTACCAGACTGCCATGGCCATTAACCTTTAACTTCATATGAACCATGTGTAGAAATTCATCCGCTGGAGTATGCCCAAGCTTTTGTAAATGTAAATCAACTCCTCATCCATTAAGGAACACTTCACCAGTGACAGGTAGCCTTTCCAGAGCTTATAGTGCATACTAAGCACAGTGCACATTAATGCGGTGCAGCTGCTGAGCATGCATGGAGACTATGGATATGTCTAGATGCACTGATATTCAGTGGGCCACATTATTCATGTCATATCTACATACAATGGAGGCTCCTTCAGTCTTCACTGCTGGATAATCAGAATATTATTCAGCTGAGGTAAGCTCATTGTATCCACATTTATACTGTATGTGAGTGTTTTTTTGGGGCACTTCTGTTTTTACTTTTGAATACCTGTTTTAAAACTGTAATATTCTAAAAAATATATATATTACGCTGGCTCAGCGTGGTCAAAAATGTGTTCTCGGCTAAATGGATTATGGAAAGACCTTTTAGGAATGCATTCTGTAATAGCTAACCTTTCATAAATAATCAGCTACTTTCAAATTCTGAATTATTCCCATTTGCCATTATCTCCGGACGGCATAACAATAACAAACAAACAATTGAAACCTGCAGAAGTGAAACAAATTCCTGGATACCTCTCACCATTTTCTCTCATAGATGGGTACGATGGTCAAGCTCAAAGGTTCAACTCCGCATTATCGAACCATATCAATATTGACGCATTTGATTCAAAGAAATGTAATCTCAAATGTTTGTTCATATCATCTAGTCCTGACGTGCATGATAAATATATACCTAAAGCAAAAATAGAAATGATATGTTTCATAACATCGCACTCACTCATGCTATTTTTTAAATTACATTGTTTATCTAGAAAGAGAGTCTCAGTGCGGCAATGTGTTGAAATGTACTGGGCCTTGCCTGGGAGCCACTCTTCCTCCTCGAGCCCCACTGGGACCACTCAGGGATGTGTCTGGTTAACGCACTGAGCTGACATGTCATGATAGACAAGAGGTGAACCCCTGAGCCCCAGCAGCCCACAAAAGACGCCCAAGGTTATATCATCAAGCCTGGGTCAGCTGTATAATTGGGCTGGGGGTCAGCACGAGGATATGGAGCGTGACAATGAGGCTATAGAGTTACAGTTTGTAGCCGAGCAGCAAGGGCCGGCGGTGGGGCATAACTGCGAGGCCAGACGTCCCTTCAAAGAGTTCAAGGTCCATCTGCGAGAGTGGCTCCAGCTCTGTACACTGTCACTGTAGGAATGTGTGTCACTGCCTGCCAGCCACCAGTACACCGCGGAGAGGTGGGGGTGGGGGAAGGAGATGGTGTGTATATTGGATTTGTTGTGAGAAAAAAATAAAACATTCATGATAATGAGTGTCAGACTCTCTCTCGGTTCTTTTAATTATTGACAACATCCCTTTAGCAAGAAGGTTTATAGATCGGAAGTACAGTACTGTATGAGGTGCTTTTTTGCCTTTGGTACTTCAATGTATATATGTTTATACTAAAGAAACAGACCATAGTGGTAACATCTGGAACGCTCTTGGCACAGATCCGCAGAATCAACTCTGCCACATCATAAAAACCTTTACTGCACTTGGCTGTCCCACAATACCACCAACAAAGCCCACCGATTCGCTGACAAAACCACAACGATGGATATAACCCAGCTCATGCTGTCACTCAACCACCTGGACTCCACACACTCACATTATACAGACAGCAAATGGAGCACACATGTAACAAGCAGGTGCTGCCAAAGATTGGATTACTCTTTCTCTATGTTCTATCCAAGTTATTCTGTAGTTACAAAATAACAAGTAGATCATTCAAAGGGTGTGTGTTTGGGACTTGGGACTTTGCAGTTCACCAGGGTGGTCCACTTATTTATTATTTTTATCATTGCTTTCAAGAGTGGAAGCATATTTAGTGGCAACTGCTAAAATGAAGTCTGCAATGGTATCAAACTCTATCAGTAAATAGATTATTTAACAGTTATTAGCTGCTGAACTAACATTAGGTCAGCTAAAATTATAGTTTCACTGACAGGACAAGCTTATGCCCAACCCTCCAGAAAACCTGTTTAGATGAATAAGATACTGAAATGATCTATCTAGCTTCATCATACTGGGCTGCAAATGTGTTTAATCATCTAACCCTTGATTATTGACTGACAGAGTTATCACTTTCAACACTTTTTCAACAATAAAAAGAATATGTATTTTTTAAATATCAAAATGGCATATAGTAGGCGTATCTCTTTATCAAAAATCCTAAAACAAAAATGTTACCTGCCCTTGATTTAATGGTGGTCCATTGGGTGCAGAGATGCTTCAGGGAGAGGACATTTTATGTGTTGGTGCAGTCTGACTTGGTCCCTATGCACTGTGTATGTGAGCGAGAGAATTCTTGCATCTGCTTCTGAAGTGGACACAAAACAACTCCTGACTGCAAACAGCGCCTGGAGCCAGGTAAAAGGCAGCAACATCAGTCTGTGTAATGCTCCTCAGCTGTGTTAACACCAGCAGCTCTGCAGTGGCCACGGATCACTGGAGTGGTCATAAAAACACAGCTAGCACAAACACAGAACTAGGGGGCAGCCGGTAGAGGAAATGCAAAGCTGGGATAGGGTTGACAATGACATATAGAAACAGAACTACCAGCTGCATGATTCGCCAAGAGTTTCCCCTCTACTGTACATGTGTTTGGGATTTACTGTT